TTTATGTAACAAAAGATGAGAAACATATCCAATATTTATTCCTTCTACCACTTTTGCATCATCTTTATGAATGCTCTTCAGCTGAATAAATCATTCCTTTGCAATATTTTTTAAATAAACAATTTAACATCATTAAACACACACACACACACACATACATACATACATATATATATATATATATATATATATATATATATATATATATATATATATATATATATACAATGCACTTTTCGGATTCTAAAGATTTCAGCAAGTATGATTAATCTGAATATGCTTAACTTTTGCTGGTGAAGTTTGGTATGCATGTTTATTTGAAATTTAAATTAAACCTTTCTCAACCACCACCAGTCTCTTTCATAAGTGTTCCAATGGCATGTGATTAAAGGTTATGCATGTAATGTATTAGCACGCAAAATGACACAATTTGTTGTCCAATCAACATTGGACAATTCTCATTTTAGATATTATGTTGAACAAAAGTCCTTCAAAGGGACTAACACTGAATTACTCAAGAGAGCAAGAAGAATTGTCAGAAATTAAAGATAAAACCATTCTTCCTTTTAATGCTGAGTGTTGAAACAATCTCTGATAGCTTGTCTTCGGTTATAAAAACATGTTCAAATTAGTTATATGGAATGATATATTGGCACCATTTTTATTTAGGACCAATAAGAGTTAGTTTAGTGAAAACGTCATGTTGATATGGCTGTCAATTCAGGTTCACTAGTAACAATAAGATGTTGTAATTTATGATTCACACCATTGTCATTAAGACCAATTAGATATTATAAGAAGTCTGTTGGTTGATATAACCATCCATTTGTGAGAAGTAGAGATCACTTTGCATTATTTTCATTCAGAACCAATCAGACACTAACAACTTTTCTGATGAAAACCTCATGTTATAATAACTTTCCATTTAAGAGTAGCAACAACAAGATTGTACAACATAAATTGAAAAACTTAAGAGATTTTTGTGGTGTTCAGAAAATGAAATTACTCCAAGGCACCTGAATTCTTATTCCTCTTTATAGATCTTGAAATACACACTTGACATTGACCTGAAAACAAAGTTAAAAATTGCAAGGGCAGAGTTGTATGCCACAAAAAGCGAACTAAGCATGCAGAAACAATGGCAATGTTGAAAACCTTGTTGGTCGTGTGTCCATCTCTAGCAAATAGTGAACAAATATTCAGTGACCAATATAACAAGAATACAGGACTGACCAATTTTTCTGATTGTGGTGGGTGTGTGAAAATAAAAGTAACAAATATATCCTTGTTGCACAAGTGCATTTTAAATGGATATAAGAGACTGTATTAAAGAGGCTTGCCCTGGGAATATTTATGAAAAATTCTTTGAGCACTGGAACAGGTAGACAATGGTTGGAATCAGGACCTGGAGAAAACATTACTTTTTGAGAAATATTTTAAGAAGAACACAAACTCTTGAGCAAATTTAATATAAGTTTTTTTCATATTTAAATTGCAGCAATTATAGGGCCCTTTTTGGTTCATCAGTGGAGTCAGGGCTAGTGAAATTGGAACCAGGGCATGTTATTTTTTTTCAACTTACTTGCCCTGAGGTTGTGTCTTTGAGAATTTCTTTGAGAACTGTACCAACATAGCAGTTTGTTAAAAAATGTCTCAGTGAACTTGATACCAAGTGTGGTGGTGGTGTGTTTATAATTTTTAACATAGCTTTAACAATTTTTCAGTCATATCGGTATGACGTTTGCAGTGTGGCAGTTTATAGTGATGTCTAGCACTGGGGCATCATGCCGCAGACAATTAACATGAAGTCACACCCAGTCCCATTACATTATCCTGACACCAGGCCAACCAGTCCTACACACTAACCTCTTAATGCTGAGCATCAAATGAGGCAGCTGTTAGTACCATTTTTGTAAGTCTTTGGTATGACTCGACCGGAGATAGAACCCACGACCTCCCACTTCTGAGGCGGATGCTCTTATCACTAGGCCACTGAAGTGGTTGATACCAAGAAGGCTACAGGACTTGATCAGATTGGTCCAGGACTCATTAAATCTTCTGCCTCTGCCTCTGCTTTTTTAGATAGCATAACATTCAATATCAATTTAAGTGTTGATACCTCATCATTTCCCAAAATATGGAAAACTGCAGAAGAAACTTCTATTCACAAATCTGGTTTTAAGGATGATGTTGATAACTAACGACCAATCTAAATACTACCAAATTTGTCAAAATTGATTGAAAAACATGTTCATTACTCATTCATGGCATATTTATTCAAACACTTGCTGTTACACCCTAATCAATCAGGCTTTAGACAGAAACATTTATGTGAGACTGCCTTGATGTTCCTAACTGGCTTCAAGCACTTGACCAAGATAGAATAATAGGATCTGTATTTGTAGATTTCAGGAAAGCTTTTGATATGGTGGATCATGAAATCATTTTGAAGAAACTGAAAATCTACCAATGTGATGAAAGCGCAGTTAGATGGTTTACTTCATTCTTACATGAGAGATAACAACATGTTTATATAAATAATTTTCTGTATGAACCTGGATCAGTTAGATAAGGAATACCACAAGGCTCAAATCTAGGTCCATTACTATTTATTTTATTTATTAATGACTTACCAATTTTACTAAGAGACTCAATATCATCTACAGATCTCTATGCAGATGATACAACATTGTCAGAGATAAAAAACACAAAGCATGAACTTGAAATTTCTTTACAGAATGCCCTAAACAAACTGGACAATTGGTAGACATGCAATGGCATGGTGGTAAGTACTGGTAAAACTTAAATACTACTTAACTCAACAAGGCAAAAAGGACAAATCTTGATAGTGATAAATTATGTTTCACATGGAAGGATCAAAATTTACAAATGATCTGTCATGATATACTACTTGGTGTCTTGGTAGACAATAACCTATCATGGGCTGAACATATGAAACATATCAGTAAAAATGCAATTTAAGTTTATGGCTTCTCAGTAAGGTAAGACATTTTCTCTCTGAAAGGCACAGAAAACTAATTTAGAACAGTTATATACAACCCTATTTATACTGTAACACAGTATGGTGTAATTCAAATGATAAAAACATAGCAAAGCTGGCATATCTTCAAAGTAGAGCATTTGGTCTAATATCAATCCAGAAACAAATCAAGCAAATTTTAGCTGGTAAGTTAAAAATAATACCTATTAAAGACATATTCCATTTGAGAAAAGCCAAATTAATGTAAAGAATATCCAATAATAGTGCTCCTGAATACCTGCAATCACTATTCCAGTATAGGCTACCTGGCAGTACTCCCCACCTGCAATCTATGTCTACCAAACATTTTAAAGTTTCCAAACCAAATAGGAAATTATTTTAAAAACATTTCCAGTAGTTTGGAACTTTGCTCTGGAATAATATTCCAGTTGAGTTTAGAAATGCCCACTCCATTTCCTTTTTCCAAACCCAGTGGCTTCAGAGATGCAGCTAAAATAAATAAATTCCTTTGAACAATAATAATAATAATAATAATAATAATAATAATAATAATAATAATAATAATAATAATAATATTACACCTATTGACACAGAGGTCTGCAGTCTTGCACTACATTTTCTGACAATGATTTGCAGTAATACACTTATGCAGAATGCTCTCAGCACAAATCTATGACTGTAAGTAAATTTTCTGTGGACTCATTTACTGTGGAGGATCTTTTTAAATTTTTTACATAAAAAATGAACTGCAGATTTTGTATTCAGGCAGATAAGGCAATGTATTTGAAACTGTGTTATAACGAAAAAAGATTCATTATCCTTAGAAATATCTTAACATTATGCACAAACATGGCAGCATGCATAAAGTATCACAAACATGACAGTATGAATGAAGTATCACAATTATGACAGTATGCATGAAGTATCACAATTATGACAGTATGAATGAAGTATCACAATTATGACAGTATGCATAAAGTATCACAATTATGACAGTATGCATAAAGTGTCAAAATTATGGCAGTGTGCATCAAGTATTAAAAACATAACAGTATGCATAAAGTATTACAAACATAACAGTATGCATAAAGTATTACAAACATTTCTGCATATGCATACAGTATCACAAATAATATATGTTCAACAAGTATGACAAACATGACAGTATGCATAAAGTATTACAAACATTTCTGCATACGCATACAGTATCACAAATAATATATGTTCATCAAGTATGACAAACATGACAGTATGCATAAAGTATTACAAACATTTCTGCATATGCATACAGTATCACAAATAATATATGTTCATCAAGTATGACAAACATGACAGTATGCATAAAGTATTACAAACATTTCTGCATATGCATACAGTATCACAAATAATATATGTTCATCAAGTATGACAAACATGACAGTATGCATTAAGTATTACAATCATGACAATATGCATCAATTATTACAAACATGACAGTTTAAAGGTTTTTGACAGTAATAAAAGTATTGTGTACAAGATACAACCATATATTGTTGAGTCATCTATCTATAGAGGAATGAGTAGATGTTCAGCATGCCAATATGTTAACATATATAAAAGCTCCAAGACTCATTATCCAGATGGCTGCTGCTGAAAATGAAACACCATAAAAAGGCCTGAAAGTAGTAATGCATTACTATTGACATTATGCAACATCTCAGACAAAAATACTTTGCTACTATGAGACCAACATTTCATGCAAGGAGGACTGAATGCTATTTACATGGCTATTTAGTTCTTTTGCTGCTATTAGTTTAACAGAAATTGTTGCATGAAACTAAGATGCCATCTCCAAAGTAAAGAGACAGATGATCTAGAAAAAAAATAAAAAATATGATAATTATTTTCCATACAAATATTATGGGCTGAAATATTTTTCATTATTTTTACAACATCTGTTGAGAGTTAAAGTATCAATTCTTGAGATCAGTATTCCTACACACATAATAATAAGCAGGGTGCCATGGTAGCTCAGTTGGTACAGCACCTGACTTGTAATTTAAATTGCAGGTTTGATACATGCCCAAGCTAGCTTGGGTTGGCTGTGGTGTGTCCTTACAAGGAACTTACCTTCAGTTTCCTTGGCATGATAAGCCACAAGTGTTGCTAAATCCCAAAACACACATAATAAGCATGAACTTCTGCACATAAGAATGAAATACTGCACAATAAGTATTTAATCTAGTATTATAATAGAGCTCCAGCACTTTCATGTTCCTCTTTTCTTCTTCATCTCATCCTCTTCTATTATATACTCAAATAGGTCTCTTATATTTTTAAATTCTGATCGACCCTGAGGTTCTTTCTTCTGTACTTTTGGCACAAAGGATTGTATTTTTTCATTAAATTCCTTGAGCTGTAAAAGAAAAATGACTTTTAAGATGTTATTTGAAAATAAATTACTCTCATTACATTTTGTATGCATATAAATGTGACTGCCAAAGCCTGTAAATTAAATGATTTATGTGTCCTTGCGAATTTTTTTTATGTGCCATTGCAAATTTTGCTTTCAAAAATAAAACTAATGTACAGGGAGACAATCTAACTGGAGCAAATAAATAAACTGCCATCAAACAAAATATCACTACACAATAAATGTATAAAAGATTAAAATCAGACATTAAGTTTAAGGTAACATTACAAAATGCAAGTAATATCTTGACAAATTTTGAACACGCCACACAAAAATACTAACAACAACATTTTAATACCCATGAAAGATTCAAGGACTCAATGTATAATGTCAAATAAGGCTAAAATTTCTTGAGGGCACACAATTCTTTGTGCTTGTGCATCTTGTGACATGCCCTCAGTTTTCTCCCCAATATTTTGACTGTATTTGAAAAAAACATGTAGTATTAAACTTATGTTAAACAAACATGAAGCCAAAATAATATGGTTGAATGGTATATGCCTGAATGGTCATTTGGTCATCCTAAGGGCAGTATGATCTGATTGTATTTGATGATAATGGTCATTTGGTCATCCTGAGGGCAGTATGATCTAATTGTAATTGGGGATAACATATGGATTCAAAACGTGATCATTTGCATAACTGCATGAATACTAAAAAACTACATATTAATAAAACTGGAAAATTACAAACAATAAACACAAGACACTGCAGCATCTTTATATATTATTCTGTAATGTTTATTTTTCTATGAAACTAGTTACAAACATCACTTTGAGAGCTCTAATTGTGGAAATGATCAACTGCATAAGTAGTTCTCTGAGATCATGACTAATAATATATTGTAATACTTCTCTACATCATGGCTGAAAAAATGTATTGTAACAAAACTTCTCTGAGATCATGACTGTTGTACAACATTATCACATTATAATGTAAAGGGTAGATTTCCTCAACATTTTTTACTACTTATGTACAAATTTTGAAAGAAATACATGCAACAGTATTACAAGTGTAGTCAGTTTTCTATAAATTATAAATATATCTGTCTCATTGAGATAAATAACTCTTTGTGAATAAAATTATCTTGAATGTGTGTGTATGTGTTTATATATATATATATATATATATATATATATATATATATATATATATATATATATATATATATATATATATATATATATATTGCATACAATTGAAACTACACTAAGGATTCCAATTGCTCTGACTAACAATTTGTATATTTATCTAACTTTAAATCTGGGATTAATAAATCCAAATTTAAAAAAATATATATTTTTTAAAATTGAATTTACAAGCCATGATAAAAGGTTTTGATTCTCAAGAATGAGGTTGCTGATTCTCATAAAAATGGGGGACTATCAAGTTCTGGGCACCAAGAGCGATGGAATTCTAATTTTTATTAGTTTGGTGCTACTCATAATGGCATTGTTGCATCACAAAGCATCAATCTTTATAAATCCTTTTGAGAAAAAATGTCCATACTCCATTTTAATTTTGAAAATGTATCAATTGGTTTTATAAAGATTCAGTATTTGTAATTAATATTTGTCTTCATGGATTCTAATCTTTGAGTGTTCTTGGAAAAAAATACAACAAAACTTAGTTTGTAACTTTGAATTCATATACTGTTTATCATGCTGATTTCTACAGATTATGTAGCTACTTGCTTTTTGATTGTTTCAATTTTGTCCTCTAAAACATCTGCATATTCTAAATAGTTTCAACCAATGCTAGAATAGGTCCCATAAAACACTTGAAAGCTGCATAATCTAAACTGGTCTGATTAAACCTCTGACAGCGGCATATTATAAATTGCTACAAAAAATCCCCTGACATCGAATTCTTTGGCATTTTGAGGGCAAGATAACACGTTATATCTTAACAGGCCTAAAGCATGATTTGATTTGGTACATTATTTTTGCATCTGAAGGTTCCATTTCAGACTGCTAGTAATTGTCACCCTAAATATTTTATTTTAATTGAGATTTTTAAGCAAGTACTTTTCAATGAATATGTTATACTGGTACAACTTTGAGAATAACAACAACAACAATAATAATAATAATAATAATAATAATAATAATAATAATAATAATAAAGTTTAATCCGTAACTAAGTAATATATTTTTGTCCTAGCTGTAAAACATTTAGAATTCAACTGACAAATGAATCCATCATTTGACTTTGGTATATGACATAACTGTGAACAGAATTCACCATATTACACTTACATGATATGCAAATGCTTCATAAAAGATAAAAATGCTTAAATTGTTGCTTATACTGTTGTTAGACATTCGGCAAAAGGAGTTGTTATTAAAAAAAGTTTTTTTTGCTACAGTGTACCAAAATGTGGCCAAGCACTAATTTATATTTGTGCTTAGGTAAAAATCAAAATATTTCATCATGATATCAATAATTTGATTATAACATGTAAATTTATAATAAAGCATTTTATTTATATTTTATATTCTTGCATTAGTTTTGGATGTGTTGCCCTATAAAATGTGCAAGATGGCATGAGGTGGTGTTTACACTTATGTGCCCATCTTGGAGCCCTTCTTTTCAGCACTTGCCAGAACAGATACTATTCCCTCTACCAATGTGGTGATGTGGATAAAAGCAGGTGCTACTAAAAACATAATACTACATCATATGTATAGCACATCAAATGGATCATTCCAACCAAGCACATCATATGTATAGCACATCAAATGGAACATTCCAACCAAGCTGAATAAAAATATAGAAGTGATTCTGAGATCTGATGTAGTACTGTATCACCACTCTTGGGCCTGTGGCTAAGTGGCTAAAATGGATCTGATGGACACTGTCTCACAAGAGGATTGTGCAATGATGTATGTAAATAAATTTTAGAATGTTAACATTGCAGAATAGCCATTGTCAACACTGACAGCCAAGCCAATAACATCATTTGCAAAGCCATTGACATCATTTGCAAAGCCAATAACATCATTTGCAAAGCCAATAACATCATTGACAAAGCTATTGCTGCTGCAGCTAAAAATAGATGATAACTATATTGCTATATGTGGTAATACATGAAAAAAGAGAAAGACAAACCCTACATTGTGAACCCCCAGCAGCTTCCAGGTGGCATAACAAAACAGACTGAATCCTGTCACAGAGTACAATGTTCCCCATGCCAAAGCTCTCATTGCTAGAGATCCCCCACTCTCTGGTAAATCTTTGGTACTCAATGGTCTCTAAAAAATAATAAGTCAACACACACATAATAGGAAATCAGTACAAGAACCATGAGAAATACCCCATACATGTTATAGTATTTCAGTACCATGAGAAATACCCCATACATGTTATAGTAGTTCAGTACCATGAGAAATACCCCAAACATGTTATAGTATTTCAGTACCATGAGAAATACACAATACATGTAACATCACTGCAGTATCCTAAGTATATCAGTACCATGAGAAATATCCCATGCATGTAACAGTGTATCAGTACCATGAGAAACATGAAACATGAAATAGTGTGTTAGCACTAAGAGAAACACACCATACATATAATAATATATCAGTACCATGAGAATTACACCATACATGTAATAGTATTTCAGTACTATGAGAAATATACCATACATGTAACAGCATTTCAGTATCATATCAAATACACCATAAATCTAATAGTATATCAATACCATGAAAAACATCAAATATGAAATAGTATGTTAACACCATGAGAAAACTCCATACATGTAATAGCATATCAGTACCATGAGACACATACCATACATATAATAGTATATTAAATCCATGAGACACACATACCATACATGTAATAGCATAGCATATCAGTACTATGAGACACATACCATACATGTAATAGCATAGCATATCAGTACTATGAGATACATACCATACATGTAACAGTATATTAGTACCATGAGAATTACCCCAGTTAATAGTATTTCAGTATCATGAAAAACAAATATTTCTCTTTTCATAAGCGTACAGTAGTACTGTTTTAAAGAATAAAGAAGCAACAAAGTCTACTTGAAAATACTAGTAAATGATGTAATACTAGAACAATACAACAAAACACTTCTTACAGGAAATGATATCTAAAGACCATAGTAGTGAGAGCTACAATTTCACTTGGTCTTTGTTTCCTACCAATGAAATTAAATATATAGGGCCAGGAAAGCATTTACTAAAAAAAACCTTAAAATTTATTTAATATCTGTAAGGGTTATACAAAATTTACAAAAAGAGATATGAAACCTTCATCGTCATCCGTTAATCCTTGTGAACTAGTGTAACAAAAAATTTAAATCCCTTTCCTAGTGCAAGCACATCTAGATGCCCCTCATTGATTTGCATTGCAAGGATCTCTTAAAATATCAACTTTAACCGAATGTAAACATTTTTGGGATGCCAAGATTGTATAAATTTCCATACAAGTGTGTCTAATGATTAAAGAAAACAACCACCCTATGCATCATCAATTCAGGGTGAATTCCCTACTGAAGGGAATATCCCTATAGGAAAACAGGTTTTCTGGAAGCTTTCATGAATCCCTAGTACCTGGCAGTCATATTACATGAACTCTA